CCATGTCGCATCTGGTTAGGGCATGGTGTTAGACTGGTTTAACAAGATTACTCTCGTGTGTGGTGTGTGTGTGTGTTTGTTAGGAAAAACATTGTTAGTGTGTGTGTGTGATATATACCCACACTTTCCTGCAGCACGTGCAAAAACCGCCTCTGAAGTGTTCTTCATCAGCATTTTTTACTTCCATGTTTCACGTTTAAGGACATTTTGCATTTAAAACTCCAGATTTGATTAACTTTGTTCATTTTCTCTTTCGCTTTTTTTGTTGTTCTTCAAGTGGATGAGAGGCACATACAGTACATCCTCTTCGTCCTCAGAGGTTAGGTTAAAAACACAAACCTGTATTGTCAGTAAAAGGTGTGACCATGCACATTAATACATTCCTTTTCAAGAGAAGCATTATGACTTTACAGAAGTCCTGACGTAGCATTTGCGCTTTTTCCTTCAGCTCATATGCGTTTCGACGTCAGGAAAGTGGTCCGCGACCCGCTAGTGATTGCGGAAGTTGAAATCCTTCATGCTAACAGCGCGTCAGGGACTGTATGGAAGCAGCGATTCAAAAACACAAGTGCTTATAGTGCAAGATCTGTTCCACGACCTGTCGAGTCCTCAGTGTGACGCGGGACTCAATAAAACACTGGACACATGAATGACTATCAGTCCACCGTACATCGAGGAGACGTCACTTCCGGGTCAGGAATCAGGAGAACGGATGGTGGTGGTTAAGTGATGTCATTTCTACAGGTCAGTCCAGGTGGGAGTGTACTGGGGGCTTTTGGCTGCCCGGCGCCCCTGGAGGCGGCCCGGGACCCCTGCGCCACTTCCTGAGCCTGCTGGATACGCTGACACTCTTTGAGGTTCTGAGCCCGAATTTCTTCGCTCAGGATCTTCTCCACACGCGTGTGGGGAACCATCCTCTCTTCTCCATCGTGCAACCTTTCACCAAACATCCAGCCTGAGGGAAAGAGGACAGACGACAGGAAGGAACTTGTGAGAGACGAGTTCTTGCGACTGACAGCTGAGGTTCAGACTCGACAGACGCAGACCTGGTCCGATGAAGCTGCATGGCTTATTGACAGTCTTTTTATGTAAGACCTATACGTAAACATTGACAGATTTATTCAGGGGCGCCGGGTGTGTTTGTGATTTCTTACCATCATCTGTACACTCCAGAATGTGAAGCACATCAGCCATTTCTACAGAGAGCTCATCCGGTTCCTGAGAGGAGTACGACTGGATACACTGAACCTGCGGAGAATCTGACGAGCACCAGCAAAAACTATTAATCATACCGTACACAGATACAAACAAGCACACTCATTCAACTCTCGACAGATTCAAATAAAAGAACAAATGTTATTTTATTACATTATTTTAAAATATATAAAAATCTATGTTATATTATGGTATACATTATTTTATATTATAAACAACATATTTTTTAATTATTATAATATATATATATTTAATGTGATATTTTAAATGTAATATTATATTTCATATTTATTATTACATTAATTATTTTGTAATTTTATACAGTATATATATATATATATATATTAGGGGTGTGAAATAATTAATTGCATCAAAGATTGTGTTTACATAATATATGTGTTTATAATTATTTTGTATATATACATACACATATGCATATATTTTAATATATCAAATATTTATATTTATGTATAATATTAATTTTGTATAAATATATGTAAAGTATATACATGCAAATATTTCTTAAATATATATATGCATGTGTGTACAATATAATTATACACACTACACACACATATATTATGTAAACACAAACTTTTATTTTGGATGCGATTAATCATTTCACAGTCCTTATATATATATATACTGTATATATATACAGTATATATATATTACACTATTTTATAATATTAAACATGAAATATATTGTATTATTATATTAAGTATTTTAGATAATAAAGTAAATATCATTTAGATTTACTATATATATATATTAAATTAATTATTATTATACTTTTCATTTTAGATTATAAATTAAATTATTTAATTATTTTAGATAATTATAAATAAAATACATTATTTGTGCATTATTTGTTTTACAAAATTATCATTAAATATTATCTACAATATTATTATATTATTTATTTGATATTTTAAATAAAACACACATTATATATGTTAAATTATTTATTTATATAAAATAATGTAAACAAATAAATAAAATATTTAATTAAATAATGCCTCTATTTTCGGGAGGTTTTGGGCCAATGACAGTTTGCTGTGAACGGAGCTAACTAGTTAGAAGAGACACAAATGGAAACATCTTAATAGGACAAAAACATGGAAGAGATGCCCGTTTCAGACTTAGAAATTCCTTTTTAACATTTAGCAGTTTGAAATTTTATCTAAACCAACAGCAAGCTATCTGTTTCCTTAATAAACCCATGGCATAGCGCCAAGACTCATAGGGAGCGCAGGCATGCATACAGTAAATGGTGTACCTGGCTGGTGAGTGCTGGTTGAGAGGAATCTCGTACGGCGGTTTGGAGTCAAAGCGTATATCCAGCGCAGTTTATCGCTTCTGTAAACATTCAGAGCGCCATTAGTGCACAAACCAAACACACGCAGTACTGTTTGAGATAAGTGCACAGGACTGTTCTCACATGCTTTCACTCTTGAGCATGTAGCTGACTTCCCTGTCCTCCTGGTTCTCCAGCAGCTTCAACACGAACACCGAGGCCAGCATCTGACCCTGGTCCTCCAGGTCTTCAGTCCTCAGCATGGAGCGAGTGCACGAGTCCAGGACCTGGTACTTCTCTCCACTGACACACACATGCAGTAAACATTAACAGCAAAAACAAGCATAGAAGACCCAATAAACATGCATATGTGGGCAAATCAGACAATATTTAGCCATTTTGAGGCATTTCAGTTGTCATCTTTTGACAATTAATATCAACAAATCAATGGACATCTGTGAGTTTATTCCCGCATATTTCAAATGATGCCGTATTTGTGTAAAATATCATCTCCTTTGGTGTCAGTAAATTGTGTTGTATCTAAATCCAAATCTCTGGATTTCATAGACTGATGAGATGGTGATGGAGGAGGTTGAGCTGATGATGTCACACGGACCTGGAGCTGCGTTTGGTGATGAGCAGCAGGTTATTGAACAGGAACAGGTAAATGGGGTGGTAGAGCTTGCGGCTGCGCATTGTCCGAGTGCTCTTGGGTCCAGACATCTGCTGCACCTCACCCTTCTTCAGCAGCCAGCGAGAGTGGGAAATCACCGGCACTGACTGAAAACAAGAGAAGCACACTGCTCGTTATGGGCTTATTGTATGAAGACATGAGTGAACACTTCTTACCGAGGACCCCTGCAACAATTAACACAATTTTTGGTCACACTTTAGTTTAGGGTCCAATTCTCTATTAAAGGAGAACTCCGGCGCAAAATGAATCGTTGGTCTAATAAAACATCGGTACCTAGTCAAACCTAGTTCTCTGTGATTTGTTTTCACGATAATCTCTAAAAACTGTAAGATTATAACACTGGTATATGGGGGCATATAATAAGTAAAAAGAAATCGCTACTTAAAGGAGTAGTTCACGTTAAAAAAACAAAAAAACGTTTGCTGATAATTTTCTCACCCCCATGTCATCCAAGATGTGCACGTCTTTCTTTCTTCAGTCGAAAAGAAATGAAGGTTTTTGATGAAAACATTCCAGGATTTTCTCCATATAATGGACTTCAATGGGAACCAAACGGTTCAAGGTCCAAATGAGAGTTTCAGTGCGGCTTCAACGGACTTTAAACGACACCAGACGATAAAAAAGGGTCTTATCTAGTGAAACGATCACTCATTTCAAAAATAAATAAAAAAGTTTAAGTTTTATAAGCACAAATACTTGCCTTGTGCGATGTGCTTTGGTGACTCTCCTGTTCAAACTCAAAATGAACAAATCTTTTTTCGAGTCATGACTCGAAGGGTCCTAGATAAGACCCTTATTCATCGCCTGGTGTCGTTTAAAGTCCTTTGAAGCTGCACTGAAACTCTCATTTGGACCTTGAACCGTTTGGTTCCCAATGAAGTCCATTATATGCAGAAAATGCTGGAATGTTTTCATCAAAAACCTTAATTTCTTTTCGACTGAAGAAAGAAAGACATGGACATATTGGATGACATGGGGGTGAGTAAATTATCAGCAAAAGTTTTTTTAGTGAACTACAGCTTTAATACCACTAACAAGGCTCAAAATAACCCCGCACTAACACAGTAACATAATGTGGGTCCCTACATGCAAACCGAAGCATTTTAATAACAGTTTAATAAGAATATACTTTATAAAGACAGTCCACTTCGTGTATGCAGGCGTCAACCATCTTTGGAAAACAGTCTTTATAAAAGTCTTTATAAACATTTTCTGGCTTCAGAAAACTTGGATTTTAGTGCGTGGTGTTACTCTTGTAAAGGTTTTTTATCTTTATTTTTGATACTTAGTATCTAGTCAACTAACAATTTAATTTGATGGCATGTTTGGGTGAACAGAACATTAACACAACATCTTCACAATGAATCATTTGACTTTTGTGTGTACCTTTGACTTGAATTCAAGAGTTTTCTCAATGCTGATCAGCTCCTCAGTGCGACTCATCTTTCTCACACCTTCATTGCACTCCTTCACAATCTGAGAATGACACACACACACACACGTACATTTATATATTTGTGGGGATTTCCTATTCACTTCTATTTTAAATTGAGCCAATTATAAGTACTCTACACTAACCCAAATACTCATCCTAACCTTAAATACAACAGGTATTGATCGATACGAAAACTAACCATTATTTAGCCCATTTTTAAACTGATTTCATCTCCAGTTCATCAGGTTTTACTATTTCCTCTGAAATGTTCTCATCACTGTTAAAATAACAAACTCCCACACACAAGAACAAGTTTGACTAAATAACACTTACAAGTTTCACCCCAACTAGGAGTTCAAGTATAAGCTGTTTACTTACAAAGATTTAACTAATCGTTATAAACGCACAAACCACAGATGACCTCTGGGACATTCAGCAGGTTTATATTGAATAATATCTGCTCGAGAGTCTCGGTTCATATCTGATCCATGTGATTAGACGACAAACCAAATGACAGCAGCCTTAACACTTAAAGGTAGTCAGAAACCTTTGCACATGTTTGTGTGTTTGCACATATCAAGTGGTCACTTTTTGTTGTGAAGTATTTTGCAAAAGCATATTGTTGTGAATTAATTCAGAGATGATGAACTTCCAAACAACCACAGCAAAACCCCACATGGATATATAACTATAAAACAAATCATTTGAGTTTGTGATCTTGAATAGTAGTTTAATTCCAACATCACATGATCCCAGCCATAATCGCTTTAAGATATTTAAAGGGAAACAATTAGCATCATTCCAGCGCACGGCTGTTAAAGTCATGTTGAGGGCGTTTCTGCGGCTACGAGAGGTGTGGCGCGGTAACCATGGTAACGCGGACAACAGGGCAAGGCGTGCTTGACAGGTGAAAGTCCAGAGACAATGAAACATAATGACAAGGCTCATTACCACACCCTGAAATCAAAACACACTTACCCTTTCCAACTCCTGATGTGCCAATATGGCCGTCTTTTCTCTGTCAGAGTTTTCCTCCACCTTCTTCAGAATATTCTGGAACACAAAGAAGCCGTTTTGATATAGATCACATTTACCAGCACGCTGCTCGATAACTGCATTAGCACACTCTAAAAAATGCTGGGTTGTTTTAATCCAATTTTGGGTCAAATATGGACAAACCCGAAATGTTGGGTTAAAATTGTAATGTAAAAATTTAACCCAACGGCTGGGTTAGTCCATATTTGACCCAAAGTTGGGTTAAAACAACCCAGCATTTTTTAGAGTGCAATAAACAATGTACAAATGAACTATCGATATTCATTCACAGCAATTTACAATATTCGTGGAGTTTCAAATTTGTAAACAGTGCCAGATTTCTTAGACAGATTATTTGATTGGCTTATTCGAGACGTCTGATTGGCTGACGCTCACCTGAACAAGTAGCTTGAGCCGTGTGATTCGCTGGAAGGGGAGGATGAGGAAGGAGGTGAACGAGAGGCCCTTCACTTTCGGCTGATTCTCCAAGATGGATATTTTCTCTCGGAAAAGAGCGTTTTCTTGTCTGAAAGATATGTAGACACACTCCTGACATTTATATACAGTTGTGTTGACGTCACGTAAATATAGATAACATGAGTTGGTGTGACTACAAACACAACAAAACAACTACTCAAAAAATGCACAACTCGCTAAATTAGAAGCTATGCTTTGTTGTCGAGATTTGTTCAAAAATAAGGGATAAGGTAATAATGTTACATTACCTTACCGCATTCTGCCAAAATACAACATAAAATAATATTTAAGAGGCATGCGTTTGAGGCAGGTGAAGTTACAACAACAACAAAAAAGTTTCCAAAAAGGGTTTTCACAGTGATCCCATATACGTAGGCGGATCTTTTGTGACGTCATTGTTTATGTTTGTCGCGTTGCATCACAGGAATCGTGTGGCAGGAAACACCGCTAGTTACCTGTAATTTGATTGTTTTGCGGTTTGGAGGAGGATTTAGAGAATACTAGGATTTTCAAGATACTATCTTGTGGCCTCAATATACTAACTCATGGCTCAAAAGATACTATTTCGTGGCCTCAAGATAGTAACTTGTGGCCTCAAGATAGAGTTAGTATCTTGAGACCATGCAATAGTATCTTGAGGCCACGCGATAGTATCTTGAGGCCACGAGTTACTATCTTGAGGCCACGAGTTACAATCTTGAGGCCACGAGTTACAATCTTGAGGCCACGAGTTACAATCTTGAGGCTACGAGTTACAATCTTGAGGCTACGAGTTACAATCTTGAGGCCACGAGTTACTATCTTGAGGCTACGAGTTACTATCTTGAGGCTACGAGTTAGTATCTTGAGGCCACGAGTTACTATCTTGAAGCCACGAGTTACAATCTTGAGGCCACGAGTTACTATCTTGAGGCCACGAGTTACAATCTTGAGGCCACGAGTTACTATCTTGAGGCTACGAGTTAGTATCTTGAGGCCAGGAGTTACTATCTTGAGGCCACGAGTTACTATCTTGAGGCTACGAGTTAGTATCTTGAGGCCAGGAGTTACTATCTTGAGGCCACGAGTTACAATCTTGAGGCCACGAGTTACTATCTTGAGGCTACGAGTTAGTATCTTGAGGCCACGAGTTACTATCTTGAGGCTACGATTTAGTATCTTGAGGCTACGAGTTACTATCTTGAGGCCACGAGTTACTATCTTGAGGCTACGAGTTACTATCTTGAGGCCACGAGTTACAATCTTGAGGCCACGAGTTATTATCTTGAGGCCACGAGTTACAATCTTGAGGCCATGAGTTACTATCTTGAGGCCACGAGTTATTATCTTGAGGCCACGAGTTACTATCTTGAGGCTACGAGTTAGTATCTTGAGGCTACGAGTTAGTATCTTGAGGCCACGAGTTACTATCTTGAGGCCACGAGTTACAATCTTGAGGCCACGAGTTACTATCTTGAGGCCACGAGTTACTATCTTGAGGCTACGAGTTAGTATCTTGAGGCTACGAGTTAGTATCTTGAGGCCACGAGTTACTATCTTGAGGCTACGAGTTAGTATCTTGAGGCTACGAGTTAGTATCTTGAGGCCACGAGTTACAATCTTGAGGCCACGAGTTACTATCTTGAGGCTACGAGTTACAATCTTGAGGCCACGAGTTATTATCTTGAGGCCACGAGTTACTATCTTGAGGCCACGAGTTACAATCTTGAGGCCACGAGTTACTATCTTGAGGCTACGAGTTAGTATCTTGAGGCTACGAGTTAGTATCTTGAGGCCACGAGTTACTATCTTGAGGCCACGAGTTACAATCTTGAGGCCACGAGTTACTATCTTGAGGCTACGAGTTAGTATCTTGAGGCTACGAGTTAGTATCTTGAGGCCAGGAGTTACTATCTTGAGGCCACGAGTTACAATCTTGAGGCCACGAGTTACTATCTTGAGGCTACGAGTTAGTATCTTGAGGCCACGAGTTACTATCTTGAGGCTACGATTTAGTATCTTGAGGCTACGAGTTACTATCTTGAGGCCACGAGTTACTATCTTGAGGCTACGAGTTACTATCTTGAGGCCACGAGTTACAATCTTGAGGCCACGAGTTATTATCTTGAGGCCACGAGTTACAATCTTGAGGCCATGAGTTACTATCTTGAGGCCACGAGTTACTATCTTGAGGCCACGAGATAGTATCTATTTTTATTATTTTTTTGCCAAAGTGGGACTAGGGGGGCTCCGGACCACACGCACTCGCACATGCGTACAAAGATGTCAACAAAGATCCTCCTATAGAAGAATCCTTTTTGGTTCCCCAAGTATCTTCCAGTGAACAGTTCTTAAAATAACTTTTTTTTTTAAATTCACTATAAAACAACTTTTTGTGCAACGGAAAGGTTCCACGGATGTTAAAGGTCCTTCATGGGACCATTGATGCCAATACAGATCCTTTATTTTTAAGAGTGTATATCAAAAGACCATTCAAGAGTTAAGAGTCAAAAGAAATGATTCAAAAGAGTCATTATTTCCCAATTCATTGAAAAGAATCAATTCAAAAGATTCCTGAATCACACTTGTTCTGATTCTTATCACACATCTTTACTGCTGAAATATTATTTAAAAAAATGTAATGTTACTTGCTTGATTTGAACAAACCACTAAAGCTTTACCAACTTGATGCATCACTACTTTCACAACTGTAACACAAGGCTTCAGATCATGCGGCTTGTCTGGGGAGGTGCAGCCATTGTAAAAGACTCATTTTCTCCTGAGACACAACATGTTTCTGTTAAGCTGTGGTCTGCCAGATTGAAGCTGCTAGACGGTTTCTCATAGATCTTAACATAGAACGAAGAGTCATATTCAACCACTTTCACAGTCCAGAACCAAAAGTGAAACAGCCAAGGAATCAGAAATGGTTACAGTATACTTTATAACACTAGCATAAATCCACATTTCAGTTTCAGCAAGTGTCCTAGTTCAATGGCCTGAGGCTGAATGTTGTCGTATAGCACAAATACGGCATATTGCCTACTATTGAAAAACAAAACCCTCTCATTTGTGACTAAAATTTGATTTATTTTAGCACAATTCAAACGGAGGGTCAAGTAAATGACACACATTGCATTGTGGGATACATTACTAGATTCTTATTTTAAGTACTAGGTCCTTATTTGCATACAGAAACTTTGGATGGCACAATGCAGAAATAGCAGCATGCTAGTATGATATTAACAAACAGCCTAATATTTCGCTAGATTTTTGACAAATATATGCGCAGTTTAGCCTGTTGTCCAGCAGGTGGCCTATGAATCAAGTTTAGCAATGCAGATTGGTTATGCATGAGAAAATGAGTTTATAGCAGCATTTCCATTAAACGAATTATTATTATATATTGCTTAAAGATAAAAATAGGCTGAATTGTTGTAAAATAAATTAGTAGGCTATTTAGTATGATATTGCCTCTAGGGAAACACAATGAAAAGGAGGACACAAGCAGGAAGACGGTGTGCGGTTAGACGAACCTGTGTGGTTTAAAACCTACAAAACATGCCCGTTTCTGGTGCACAATCTAGCTGTTGTTTTTGCCGTAATGCGTGCACGCACGCACACACACACACACACACACACACACACAGGCTGGATTTAACCCTAATCGTAACAAGAATGAAAAGAACTAAAACTCCCCAGGCCTGTGGGCAGAAAGTCCTATGAGCTTTACATGGCTTACAGACACAAATGAAAGCAGCCACACAAACCTTCACACAATACATCACAAGAGAGCGAGGACTGAAGCCTCAGGCGAGGATCCAGGCCCTGCAAACAAGCCTGCACTGGCCCTGTCCGGGCCCACTTAGGGCTAGCCTAAGGGCCCCCTGCAGGCTGCTAGCGCAGGGCCCATGAGAATTTGCTCATTGGCAAAACGTTGGGCCTGCATGGGCAGCCCTCACTTAGCCCTCACTAAACCCACACAGGGCCCGCACACTGGGCCCACAAAACGTTGGCCCTGCATGGGCAGCCCTCACTTAGCCCCAAGGAATCCCTCACTAAGCCCACACAGGGCCCGCACCGCACACACAGGGCATCTACAACAATAGATCTAGTTCACAATTAATCTGTTTCACTATAAATACTTTTTGGCTAATATAACTATAAGTCTTTGGGAAAAACAATTATTCTATACATCTGAATGCAGTCACCACATAACTAATTTCTGTATTTTCACAAATGTACAGAAGTCAAAGGGATTTCAAATCAATGTATTTATTAATTACAAAACATAAAACATTAAATTCAGGTTATTATATATAATATAATTACACTATTATATATTCACATAAAAAACAGAAACAGAAAACAGCTGTTTTACATTATGATAAAATTTCACAATATTACTGTTTTTTTTTTTTAAATAAATGCAAATAAATGCAAGCTTGATAAGCAGAATAGACTTCTTCCTAAATGTTTCCAAATTTTTTACCTGTATACTGTATATGATTTTATACAAAATAAATAGTAGTTAATAAGATTGACACTGTATTATATCTAGTAATATTGAAGCTAAACAGAGTCCCTATAACAGTGCAATTTGTAGATTTTTAGTCTTCGAGAAAATTTTTTATGCTTTCTTTCTCTCTCTCACAAACACAACACATCAGTTACACAAAACATCAGTTAAATTCTTCATTGCAGGTGCACAAATCCTATTCTAAAAATTACCAAACTCATAGGGTCATATTTTTGTTGATAAACAGTAACATTTTGGCCAATTATGCACATTTCTTGGTGTATAATTTTGTGAATCATCTATACTGTTTGGCTATTCTCATGTGGTCACACTTCACTTTTCATTCACAGTCACATATGCTCAAACCCCGTGTGGCCGTGCCTTAAATGTCAGCATACATTTCTTACAGGGCTGTGCAAAAGTTAATTGCGATTAATTGCATTCAAAATAAAAGTCTGTGTTTACATAATATATTTGTGTGTGCTGTATATAATTATTTTGTATTAGGGCTGTGAAACGATTAATCGCGATTAATCACATCCAAAATAAAAGTTTGTGTTCACATAAATTATATACGTTTGTGTAGTGTGTATAATTATTTTGTATATATAAATACACACACATGCATGTATATATTTAAGAAATATTTGCATGTTTGTACTGTATATATGTTTATACAAAATTAATATTATACATAAATATAAATCTTTGATATATCAATAACACATTTTTCTTAAATATATACATGCATATGTGTGTATTTATATATACAAAATAATTATACAGACATATATCATGTAAACACAAACTTTTATTTTTGATGCAATTAATCGTTACACAGCCCTATATTGTATATATAAATACACACACATGCATGTATATATTTAAGAAAATGTGTTATTCATATATAAAATATTTATATTTATATAATATAGATTATGTATTCATATATATATATATATATATATATATATATATATACAGAATTTAAGTGCAAATAATTCTTAAATATATACATGCATGCATAGGTATTTATATATACAAAATAATTATATACAGCACACACAAATATATTATGTAAACACAGACTTTTATTTTGGATGCGATTAATTGCAATTAATTTTTGCACAGCCCTTTTTGTGATTTGAAAAAAAGAAAATTATTTGTACACCTCCAATGAAGAATTTGAAAAGCTGTAACTGCAGTGTTTTTTGTGAAAGAGAAAAAAGTTTGAAACTTAAAAAAAAAAAAACGTTCTCTCTGTGACTACTTTACACCTGACTACTTTTAACTGACTACGTTACACCTACAGATTCCACTGTCACAGGTGCTCTGTTTTGCTATAATGAAACCTTTACAGAACATGATAGTAATCCGCCATCCATGTAAAAGCAGAGGTCGGTGTGGTGTACAGGTACATCTGTCCAGCCAACATCTCACGCCTTGATGCCTTCCACTGTGGATCCCAGAAAACCTGCAAAAAAAAAAAAAAAATACAGTTCAAAATCTATCATACATAATCATACATCTGGTATCACAAATTATTCCAGGTTATTATAACAATTCCAGGTTCAATCAGGTTAAATGCTCAATATTAGAGCTGCACAATACTAAAAACCTTAAATAAAATATTTTGTTTATCTGCTGCTATATATATTGCGATATAAAAACAAATTTCAAGAGATTATTGAGTGAATCTGCATTGAAAATTATAACAAATTACAAGTATTGATAAATTCAATAGAAGAAAAATACAATTGAAATAAGCAGTGCATGAAGTTTTTTCGGAAAATCTAACTTATCAGGTACGGAAATTGAATTATCTAATGTAAAATAAGTCTTCACTGAGGTACAGCCTCTCTCTACTCTTACAAAATGACAAACAACCAGCCTGAAAAACACATGACAATGACACAAGATAATGTCTATAATAAATAGTGTGTGTGTAATTTCTTCAGTATCGTCAGCAGAACTGATAACATCTGAGCTTATCGATACTGCAGTCTTCCTTAATTTGGCCCCAGGGCCCGTTTAATGTTTAATACCGGGTTTCGGAACCTATTCCTACATATGGGTGAGTTCATATGGATGAAGGCCTGTGTTTGGCCTCTTGGTTTGTGATGGTGATATAGCTATTGTGAAACTCACCTTCGTCATGTACTGGGTGTGGATGGCATCAAGATCTTGTCCTGAAGAATCACAGGATCAAATGATATCTCATCTGGTAACAAGAGCACAGCCATAACCCCCTGAATTCAGCATTTGAAAGTAAAAAGAATTTCAGTATTTATCAGTCAAACATACATAAAAAAATAGCTTTGAGTTGGACAGTATGGTGTCTCATTGGCCAACATAATTAAAAACACACCCAGAGAAAAAATAAAATAAAAAAATATATATATATATATATATATATATATATATATACTGTATATATATATATATATATATATATATATATATACCCATGACTATTATCCTGAATTATTATAACTATGACTATTATAACATTATATTTGCCACCTATTATTTAGCTTCTCAAGTACAATGTCACTGAAAAAAACTGTAGTTAATGAATTTAAAGTGAGAGACTTCATTCAAAATCATAAATCCTACAGACCCACAACAATTAAACAGTATGTATGAAGTTTTGCTTACTATAGTCGAGGTCGAAGCCGTGGAGATTGTCTTGGACCCCAGGGGGTGCAGCAGGACATCTATGATGATCTTCAAGAAAATAACATGCAATATGTCACAGAGCCAACAATATTACATTGAATTTACAATAGAACAAGGGTTTAATACAAGGAAGCAAGCTAGAGCATAGCTAAAGAATATACATAAAAAATCTTAAGGTAATATATTGTGCAATAATGCATATGAAATAATTATCATGATTAAACAATAATTCCCCTTTGTTGTGTTTTTTTCCTGTTCCTTCTGAAATCACTTATTACCAATATTTGTAAATGACGTCATTACAATGAATTCTTTCAAGGTTAAATAAATTAACTTAGCTAACTTCCAATCACCCATTGACAAATTACCAGCAAAACAAAACTATCAAAAACTGTTATCAACACAAAAATGTGGTTAAAAACCCACACTTATGTAAAACAAGAGCTCAATTGTAACGTAAACAACTTAACGTTAACGTTAGCTCTTCTGAAAACGGTTCAGTCAGATGCTAACGGACTTTATCGAAGACACAAAACTATTTCTATAAAGTAAATATTCAACAGAAGTGTATCAATTACACGTAAGACATATATCAGGAAGGTTTGTATGTATTATTTGTGTGATTTTGGTAACTAGACTTACCTGAAAGCAGAGAAAACAACAGTGAGAGACGCTAGTTTGCTGTTTGTCAGTTGATGGGTTTCCTCGTTTCCATGGTTTCCATCTGCTCGCGCGCGCTCCTGTCTTTGAATCAGATTTGAATGCGACTCGCGCACGTACGCCCATATTGAAACCATAGAACACGTCAAAAGGCACGCAGCATTTAAATAAACATCTAGAATTATAACATTTAACAATTTAAAATATCATTAATTTTATATAATGAATTTAAACTCATTGTGTAGTTCTATGACCCATTCAGTTGACAATTATGCTTTTTAATACCATTTTGCTTTTACTTTTATTGTAAAGCAATTTCATGACATCTGTATTATATAAAGGCCTACATGTAATATAAAGAGCAACGTGTAATATAAATATGTAACATAAAGTGTGGAATGAAACTGCAACAGGCCCGTAATTTCATTACCATCTTTATATAAAGAGTGCTTTCTTATTCTCTTATATATATATATATATATATATATATATATATATATATATATATATATATATCTCTTAAAAAATAAAACATTTTTAAACAATTTAAATATATATATATATATATATATTTAAATTTTTTAAATTTTTTTAAAGAGAATTAAAATTACCAAGTTATTAGTGTTCTTATTCTCTTTATATATATATATATATATATATATTATTAGTGCTTTCTTATTCTCTTAATATATATATATATATATATATATATATATATTATGACTATTATTATTTTTTTAATTTTTAAGAGAATTAAAATTACCAAGTTATTATGATTAGAGGACGTACTGACGACATTGTGGGCATGTGGGCAAATCTAAATGTGGGCTACCTAAACTAAACCCGCATGGGCCCAAAGGTGCAAAACCTGCTCATGGGCCCGAATGGGATGGCCCACAGTGGGCCATCATGGGCTTAATGTGGCCAGCCCGCTAGTGTGGGCTGCTCACTGATAGCCCGCAGTGAGCCCAAAGCTGTGGGCCTCGTCTGGGCAACCCGCACTGGGCCTGTTTAGGTTTGGCGTGGGCTGGCCCTAGCCCACTGTGCCCACAAAAAGCCAGCGTCGGCCCCGCAGGGGCATGTTTGCAGGGGGTAGACAGCTGGCCAACATGCATGCAGATTTGATGATTTACACAGCAAACACACACAACTGTCACTCTCATTTACACATGCACAATCAATAAACTCACGCAAAGCTATCAGAGAATCTACATGTTGTTTATGATTGTTGAAAAACACTTTCTTCTTCCACAGAATAAAATCAGTAGACTAATAACAACATGGAGGAGTAAACAATCACGAGTCTTTCTTTTTTGGGCAAACTATCATTGTAATAAATTACACAGTGTCATAGAATTTCATTAAGAGGAGTAATCGTGGGAACGTTGCAGGAGACGGATCGATGCGTGTTTGTTGTTGTTTCTTGAATGACCACACCCACCACACAAGTCAAGTCACGGTGTCAAGTTTAATTAGAGACTACATACAACGTCACATATACAATGCTTCAGTCACGCCACAAACAAGGAAACACTCTTTCATTCCAAAGCTTAAAGAGATAGTTCACTTTGAAATTAATTTTTGGTATGTTTTATCTTACCTCAAGGCCATCCAAGATGTAGGTGTTTTTGTTTCCGCAGTATTTTCAATTTTGATATTTTTAGGTCAAACCCATCGTGTCTATCAGTCATATAATGGAGGTCTATGGTCACCACCTCAAAGAGCATTTACAGAGAAGTCCAAATTAAACTTGATTTAATGACTCATAAATGATGGCCTAAGACAAGAAACGAGCGGTTTGTGTGAGAAAACGAACAGTATTTATATCGTTTTTACCTCTTGTAACCACAGTCACGTCCAAGTGATCTGAGGGCGTGGGCGCTCCGGTCTGCACAAGCGGCGGAAGTGATCTCTTACACAGAGATTTCAGAAGATCGCTGTGAAGATCTAAACATATTTAGATATAGGAAATCGCAATGGAAGTAGATTTCGATATATCAACAGAAATCGTTGAATTTTTTTTTAGAACCGCGCGAGAGATCACTTCCGGCGCTTATGCAGACCGAAGCGCCCGTGCCCGCGGCTGTGATTACAAGAGGTAAAAACGATATAAATACTGTTCCTTTTCTCACACAAACCGCTCGTTTCGTGTCTTGGGCCATCAGTGTGTACTTACATTTACGAGTCATTAAATCATGTTTAATTTGGACTTCTCTGTGCATGCTCTTTGAGGTGGTGACCATAGACCTCCATTATATGACTGACATACAAGAACGGTTTGACCTAAAAATATCAAAATTGAAAATACTGCCGAAACAAAGACACCTACATCTTGGATGCCCTTGAGGTAAGATAAAACATATCAAAAATGTATTTCTAAGTGAACTATCCCTCTAATACGAACAAAGAAAGCATTTCAGACCAGATTGAATCTGCATATCATCGTGCTACCAACACGCATAATCGCTTTTCAGCGTGTTTATGAAGGCCGTTGACTTAAATGTTACATTACTGTATATAAATATACGTCTTACCCCAACCCCGTCCCTAAACCTATCGTCACTGGGGTTAATAGCAGTTATGAGTCTTCCCCTACCATCCTAGGAAAAAAATATCACTCCCCAGATGTAGATCTACATTTTGCTTCGTTTCGCTCGGACATTTAACGGTGTAGACATACACACGCGGATAGCTCAAAATCCGTAGAGATAACACGCCACTTGACTTGAACGTGGCGTGTATGTTTACGCAAAAGTCATGATGTCATGTTGAGCTATTACAAGTGTACGGATATGCAAATGAGGTGGTATATAATTAAACATGCGCTAAATTGCATAAGTTTCTTTGGATAAAGTCAGCTTCAAAATTATTGTTTCATTCTTCTGACATATTTGAGTAAAGGGTTTTTAGAGGGGATTTTGAATAGGCCTATCTATTTTCACGTCATGATGTGTACTGGCATGAGGGCGGGGCAACCTGTGACTCACAGTCAATCGACCAATAGCAAACCACAACCATCCAATCCATTCCCAAAGGACAAAATCAGACGCATACTCTCAAAAGACAAAAAGTCCAGCCCTATAGATTTTCTTATTCATGAAGCCACTTTTTCCTATCACAATATAAGAAAAGACCATCTTCTCTTTCATGATGACTTTAAATAAAAACACGCAAATTATATATGAACAAATCCCTCTGTAAAAACCTTCACAATATTGAGTGGATAGGAATAACACTGAAAATTGCTACTGCCTTCAAATATATGAAATCTACAGACGCAAATAGATGACGTGGAACAAAAAAACACTAAAATGTGAACTGGATGTTTTCTATCCACTACTCTGAGAGACGTTATAGAAGCAACATAACCCAAGATATCAAAATTGACCAGTTATATATTTTGTATCCATAAGAAGATTGGGTAACACTTTATTTCAATAGTCTACTTTAAGTAACTTTGCAAGAACTAATCAGTCTACTAATACTCTTTTTATTTTATTAAGTTTTAGTGGATCTGATCACAAGTAGACGAGAGGTGTTTAAATCCATCTATTTTGTCCTCTTTCAACCACTTCTGTCCTGATTTCTTTGAGGTGAGGGTCTATGGCCGGGTAAATCTATAGGCTTTTTCAGATCTTTCGATCTAATAGACGAAATAAGCTCACGCTATTAACATATGAACAAAAAACGACCAGAAACGATGGAAAAACACATTGTTTCTACACCGATAACCAAGAAATCACTGTGAGTGCATGTTAGAAGAAATCAGGAATGGTGAGAGAACATTGTGCTTGGTACATTTTTTTCTTCAAACCAGTCCAGGGCCAAAGTTTAAATCCCATCTGGTTAGTGCGATCTCATGATGTTTACCTGTAGGCATCTTTTGTGGCTGTTTGAACACAATTGACCATATGAGCGTTTACACTTTATGAAAGCAATCCAGTCAAATGCGTTTTCAACAACTTCGGCATTTTATATCTGTATTATTTAGCGTTGTCCACTTGTGATCCGAAATGCATCTTAAAGGACAACTCAGGTGCAAAATGAACCTTTGGTCCAATAACACATTGGTACCTAGTCGACCGTTCTTTGGAAAACAGTCAGTCAAACCATGAGCGTCGTTCATACAGTTCAGCTCACTTGGCACGTCGTTCGTGGTTTGACTAGTCGTGACTGTTTTCCAAAGATGGCTGCTGCCTGTATACACAAAGTGAACTGTCTTTATAAAATATCTTCTTATTAAACAGTCTGTACACTTACCACGTTCTCAATGCTTTGGTTTGTATTTAGGGACCCTCATTATGTTACTGTGTTAGTATGGGGCTATTTTGAGCCTTGTTAGTGGTATTAACTAGCGATTTCTTTTTACTTATGCCCCCAGTACTAGCATTATACGCTAAACAGTTTTTAGAGATAAAACTCTTTACATTCGATTATCATGAAAACAAATCTCACGTTGGACTAGGTACCAATGTGTTATTAGACCAAAGGTTCATTTTGTGCCGGAGTTCTCCAAACAGAGCCTAAGCTGACAAAGCTGCAAAGAGACTTCTAGTTAGTGGAATGTCTATCAAAATAAAGTGTAAACAATGATATTTGTTTTCCAGAATAGCATGTAAAAATTGTGCCTCCAACCTGACAGAGATCACTGATATGTACAGTAGGCACGCTGGCATATTTACCCTTAAACAAAGACTAAATTACACTAAATCTTTCCCATTTTTCATATTCACAGGTAAGAAATGTTCTTACAGTATCCGTCGGTAGTTCTTCTCCTGGTACGCCTGGTTGATGACGTAGCTGATGAAGACTTGGAAGTGGTTAACAGCGTGATAATAAACAATGTCGCACACGTCTGAGATCAGGATGGACTCTTCGATCCTGTGCTCCAGATCCATGAGGAGCCTGAGGATAGGAGCATGAGGTCATCATCGTGAAACAGCGACATCATGGATGAGACCCATTTTGAGTTTGCAGTGTCGCTTACTTCAGTTCTACAGAAGTACATACTGTACATGTCAAAACTGTTGTGGCGACTTCAGTCCCACATTACTTTTCTTAAAATTAAAGAGTCAACAGAGTTACAAACTCAAACAAGTTTACTTTGAAAGTCCACTGGAAATGGTGTATATATTTTGTTTATACTAGTGGCTACAGAAATCAAACATTTCTTTTACAAGAAACTTTAACTTGTCCTCAATAGCTTTAGCTTAGCTGTGCACTAACAAACACATCTTATATAAGAAAGAAACTCAAATCAATCTTGTAATCCAACGTTTCACGCTGTACGAGAGCAGGTTTGGAAGGGCAGAGTCGCATGAATCATCGCATTAGTGGGTGGATTTGCCTGCTGTAAAGCTGACTGACTGATGACTGCATCTGACCGCTTCAGCACTTTAATTTTAGTCTGTGGGCAAGGGTATCTGGGTGAATGGAAGGAAGTTTCACTTCTGAAATATGATTTAAGCAAATTTATGTTCCGTATTTCAATGGAAATGAACTTAACTTTGACCATTACGTGAGGCAAAACAAGTTTGAAACATCAACTACTTCAACACATTAGAAAGATACTTATTGGATAAAAAAGGCGTGTCTTATTGTTATATTATGTGACTACACATAGAAAAAAAAAAAAGATAAAATGTATTTTTAAAACATATTCTGGTTATATATTTGATTTAAAATATAAATAAATTAATATAAAATAATATATACATTACTGAGTATATTTAAAATAGACATGTTTTATGATGTACACATACTATTAATATATTTGCAAGATTTTCCTGACATATTCTTTTGCAGTTTTTTTTTTTGGATATTTATATTAAATATATAGAAAATGTTTTTTTTTAAATATTAAAATAAATTAATAAACTATTAATAAATAAATTAAAACAGATTTCAAAACATATATTCTAGCAAATATTATGAATGTATTTGTTATATATTTATATAATATATATATATTTAGCTGTTTTGGTATATTATTTATATAAAATATATAAATTAATATTAAGTAAACGAGTATTTTCTTAAAAAATAATTTGGACTTAATAAACTACCATTATATAAATCAATAAACAAAGAATATATAGAAAATGTATTTTTAAATCATTTTGGATATATATTTTATTTAAATTATAAATTAAAATAATAATAAATAATAACTTTTTATATACAATATTCATATACAGTATAATACTAATTATTCTATTAACATATATATATATATATATATATATATATATTAATAAATGACTAATTATATTCAAAACAGATATATTTTTAACATATATTCTTGATTTTTCCTGATATTTTTCCTGTTTTTGTACATTTATATAAAATGTACAGAACATTTCATTTTAAATCATATTTTGAACAAATATTTTGATTTAGAATATATAAATTACTAAAAATATTCAATTTTAGAATTTCTCCTGATATGTTTTTGGGCTGTGTTCACAATTTATTTATTTTTACATATGTTTTGATACTAAATATAATGATAATTGTTATGATTATATATTCTTGATTTCTCCTGATATATTGAACGGATGTGAAATTGAATTCATGCAGCCATTGATAACAGATGCATTTTATAAAGAGAAAAGGCCACTGTGTTCTAGTTAAATGTTCAAAACACTATTGTCCTGTTGACCTCCTTCATAAAATAAAAGCCTTGAATAAGAAAAGACTGACAATGGGAAATCACAAGCGTATGAAATTGAACACCAACCGCATACATTCCCCTCACAAACACACACCTCTCGCTTGCCTTCATGATGTCCTCAATGTTTGAGAACAGGAAGTGCATGTCAGACTGACTCAAAGTGTTGACAAGCAGAGGGTTGCGCAGAAAGTGTGTCTCCAGCAGCTCCAGGCTTTTGTAGTACGACGCCTCAGAAGTCACCAGTTCAAACATGGCCTACAGAAAGAGACAGAGACACGTTCATTTGAGATGTACAGCTGTTGCTGTCAATTCAACATTTAAATAGTCTGATTCAGTGTCCGCTGAACGCTAGTCCTGCAGTGTGCCATCAGAGTGAATCTGAACCCCTCCACCTCCCCCAGCTCCACCTGCCACCATTTCTGTTCAAATAAATAGACCTTTGAACGGTAGTATATGTGGTATTTTTATACACCGGTCGCTTCGAAGCATGTGTCGCACCTCCTGCAGTATAATCTCCTTTGGCTCCAGTGTCTGCAGGTGTCCACTGTCCTTCACGATATCCAGGTTTTGCCAGAGGCTCAGTGAATGCGTGCTGTTCCTCAACTGCAGCTGCAACGCAGGCGCAGCCGTGACCCCTGACCCCGCAGTCGGAAGCCCATCTCTCTGTCGACGCTGCTCGATCTCCTGCTGCTTAGAGGTGTCGCGGTACTCTTGATACAACACGTCTGGACACAAACACACATTGAAGAACAGAATGGGGATTCAGAAGGACAATATTTTCACATGTTGTTGGATTTTATCTTACTTGATTTTATCTTACTCGTGAGCCTCTTACTTGACACAAATCGACTGAGTTCAATGTAATTTTGTGTGAAACATTTGTTTATTAGCTTGAATAGCTCAGCTGGTCATGTGATCTGGTCATGTGTGTGAGTGCACCTCTCAAAAGGTTGATTTTACAGAGGAAAGCAGTTGCATAATGTCCTGCAGTCACATTCAACAAGACCTTCAGGTGGGTGTTCAGCAGTCACTTATATAACAGAGATAACAGAGAAGAGAAGAGAAGAGAAGAGAAGAGAAGAGAAGAGAAGAGAAGAGAAGAGAAGAGAAGAGAAGAGAAGAGAAGAGAAGAGAAGAGAAGAGAAGAGAAGAGAAGAGAAGAGAAGAGAAGAGAAGCTGATAATAGGCTTGAAGAGAATGATGGGAACAGGTGATGAGAGAGTGTGTGAGACATTTACAATAATCGTAAATAACGATATAATGATATGTGTCTGTCACAGAACAATATAAATGATAGATGGGTTGCTGAGATTTCATTATTAACATGTATTATGAATATATATTCCTGCAATCTCCAGATATATTTACATATATTTTATTTTTTTTCAATATATTTTGGGTAAACATTTTGATTTAAAATATATCAATTACTAGAAATATTGCAAAATAGATATATTTTTAAAAATATTCCTGATATTTTGTATATTTACATACAACGCATTTTTAAAATATAGCCTTCCATTTTTATTTGAAATATATAAACTACTACATATGAATGTATTCTGATTTTTCCTGATTTGAGAATATATACAAATATGTATTTGTATATTTACATAAAATGTATTTTTAAATATAATTTGGACATACATTATATTAAAAATATATACTTACTAAATATAGCCAAAATATATAGACCATTTCACAAGATGTAAACAAGACTGGTCCAGAAGCACTTCCTGTTTCAGTTTGTAACTGTTTTCTTTATTTCACATGTAAAGAAAACATCTTAAAGATGTTTTTGGTTCAGTTTTAAATGTTCTGTTGGTTGTATTTTATCCCAGCTTTTATGTAGTGTTAAAAAACTGAAACAGGAAGTGCTTCTGGACCAGTGTTGTTTACATCTTGTGAAATGGTCTATGTTTTTGTACAGATGTTATGAATATATATTCCTGGTATTTAAGCTTGTTTTTGTATATTATCATACAATAGATATTTAATATATATATTTAGACATACATTTTTTAAAATATATAAATGACTAAATATGAACATATATTCCTGATATCTTCTTATATATTTCTGGCTTTTTTTCTTTTCTTTTTTTTTTTTTTTTTTTTTTATACATACAAGAAAGTGATAATATACACCAAGATGTGAGAATATATGAGATAGAAATACAGAATATATAATATATAGAAAATGTATTTTTACATTTATATATATATATATATATATATATATATATATATATATATATATATATATAATTTAAAATATAAATTAAGATAATAATAAATAATAAACTATTTATATACAATATTATTCATATATATTAATTATTCGATTCATATATATATATATATATATATATAGTATATATTAATAAACTTCTAATACATGAATTACTGATTATATTCAAAACAGATATATATTATGAATATATTCTTGACTTTTCCTGATATTTTTCCTGTTTCTTTCCTGACAGGTAGAAAGAAAGAAGAACAGATGAGAAGAGAAAAGAAGAGATGCGACATGACAGAGATGACAGCAGATAAATGAGACAAAATGAGATGAAATGAGCAAAAAGATGAGATGAGACGAGAAACAAAATCAGTGAAGAAGAGAGAGAACTGGATGCAGATTTAATAGAGAAATAGAGGGAAATAGAGATGATATAAAATGATGCTGCGTTGGCGAAGAAAGCGGATAACTCTCTCTTGCAGTTATTCCAGAATATATTTAAAAAGACATCACCCACACACTCCACCTGCCTTCAACCTACACACACACACACTAACACACTAACACACACATACGTCTTGTACACATCCGGCACATACATGCTGTAAATTCAACTGCAAATAAAGTTGCCTACACAGTTCAACTTGAGCCAAATAAATTATAGCATGGATTGTTACAGCAAACGGCCTCCCTCTCTTTCTGTGTGTGCATGTGTTTGTGTTTTCTTTCCACTCACCGACACGCTTCACGATGTTGAGATTGCGGCAGGAATTCTCTACTGCCATCTTCTGCGGACTGTCACCATTCCTCACCGGCCTGAAGAAGACAAAACCTCCAATAATCAGTGACTAGAAGAGATAAGATGAAGTGTGTGTGTGCGTACCAAAATGAGACCATGTCAGCCCTCTCTCAAAACACCCTACAGCTGTAATAAGTCCTACTTTTGTTTCTAAATGAGGGGAATATTTTTCACTTTATTACATTTTAACCCTGACAGACCTAAATAAGTCAAATCCATAATCGAGTCGAGTGAGCCCTAATTGAGTCGTATGCAAATGTTGAAATCTGACATTCTGTAAACTAATTTGCAACTATATACTGAATGCATACATATATTCATACATGGGTAGATTAAATTACATTTCAAGCAGTGACAGCGGTTTATTGCAATGTGACATCATGTTTTTCTTTTACAAATATTGCTTAATTATTGTTTATACAGTTTTATATACACATATTTTTTTTACACATTCTTATATAGCAGGACTTAGATTATTAAATGAAGTATATTATATATACACACATACAGTATATACATAAACATGAATGCATGTGCTGTTTATACATAAACATTTGCACACAGACTTTCAAGTTATTCAAGTTAAACACAACAAAATATTGGTAAAAAGATGTTCAAAAGCAAGTTCTACTTTAAAGTGTCCTGATTGGTGCCTCTTACCGGAGTGTGATGTTGTCAGGGTCGGCAGTGGTGTGTGTGTCTTTGTCCTGCATAGTGCAGGCACTTGTCGTCCGTTCACTCAGCTCTTCCATCTCTTGTCTACGCGACCGATCTCCCGGCATCGCCAACGGAGACCGAGAGCGAGCTCCTCCCAGCACAGCAATCCCGTTGCTCGGCAACGAGATTCCAGAGCGAAAAAGTGGACTGATAGAGATACAGAAATACTGTAAATATTTAAATAAAGAGATGTTTGCAGAGATTCACAGGCTTCTTGTAAGACTGAACTGTCGCTCACAGATACTGTGTCCTCTGCAAACACACACGCACATAACTGAACGCTGATGTTGTTGATGACCACATGAACACAAACAGAAACACGGACAAGCCCAAACAAAAAGTCACCCACACACACACACACACTCACTTCTCAACTCCAAACTCTTCCACACACACACACACACACACACACACAGACACACATTCTCTCATCTTTTGTTCTGTAAATGATGTGATATAATGCGAGTTGAATCATAGATCACGCCACACAATAAATCACACACAAACACCACATTACAATCATAGAGACTCTAGACAGACAGACAGACAGACAGACAGACAGACAGACAGACAGACAGACAGACAGACAGACAGACAGACAGACAGACAGACAGACAGACAGACAGACAGACAGACAGACAGACAGACAGACAGATAGATAGATAGATAGATAGATAGATAGATAGATAGATAGATAGATAGATAGATAGATAGATAGATAGATAGATAGATAGATACAGACAGACAGACAGACACACACACACACACACACAGATAGACAAACAGAGACAGATACAGACACAGACAGATAACAGTCAAACTGACAATAAAAAACATAGCCAGACCAAACCAAATAATTAAAACACAAAAAGAAAAATACCTCAAACATTGGACAGACGCAACATCCAAACAGAGTAAACTGGAATGCTATTTGGCCCTAAACAGAAAATATAAATTGGCAGGATACCGTAGTAAAGTGAGTGACCCTAAACTGATGAAAGTCCTGACTGCATGTACAGACTCAGTGAACACAGTCTGTCCTGTCACGAAGAAAGATATATTAGAAGATTAAATATTAGAAGATTGAAGATTTTAATCGCTATGTATATTTTCATGTAAAAATAAATAAATAAAATGATGATCATAAATGTTGTGAATGCTTTGGCAAGGTAAAGATTTATTTCTTTACCTTGCCATTACATTTATTTCAGAGTCACAGACACAGACCGACAGACACAGACAGACAGACACACGCACACAGAGAGAGACAGACGGGCAGAGACACAGACAGACAGACAGACAGACACAGTCACAGACAGACAGACAGACAGACAGAGACAGACATAGAGACAGACAGACAGACAGAGACACAGACAGACAGACAGACAAAGACAGAGTCACAGTCACAGACACAGACAGACAGACAGAGTAACAGACACAGACACAGTCACAGACAGACAGACAGAGTAACAGACACAGTCACAGACACAGACAGACAGAGTCACAGACACAGACACAGTCACAGACACAGTCACAGACACAGACAGATCGACAGATCGACAGATCGACAGACAGACAGACAGACACAGTCACAGACACACAGACAGACAGACACAGTCACAGACACACAGACAGAGACAGACATCGACACAGACACAGACAGACACACACAGAGTCACAGACAGACATACACAGACACAGACAGACAGACAGACAGACATAGACAGACACAGTCACAGTCACAGACAGACACAGACAGAGTCACAGTAACAGACACAGATAGACAGACACAGTCACAGACAGACAGACAGACAGACAGACACAGACAGAGTCACAGTCACAGACACAGATAGACAGACACAGTTACAGACACAGTCACAGACAGACATAGAGACAGACACAGACAGACAGACAGACAGACAGACAGACACAGTCACAGACATAGAGACAGACAGACACAGTCACAGACAGACACAGTCACAGACAGACACAGACAGGCAGACAGACAGGTAGACAGAGTTAGAGAGAGATACACACAGACAAACAAACAGACAGACAGACAGACAGACAGACAGATAGACAGACAGACATGTGTTTGTGTGCACCAACTTTTGCATTGTGGGAGAGGGTGAGCGTAGTATCGCTGCAGATGGGCTGAGCCTGTAGGAGTCAGGATCCACTGCAGGTTTAGGAGAGGAGGAGGGGCCTGATGAAGAGAATGGGAGTGGCTTCGGTTAATGAACGGACATCATAGAGCTTGGACACATTTGAGTGGAATAGAACAAAACTGAATTGAACCAAATTCATCTTGCATGACAGTCCCAGGCACTGTAAGATAGTATAAAAATATTTGTATAAGGAGGAAAACAGAAGTACCCTTTATATGGTATCAGAGACAAGTAAAACCAATTGTTTGGCTAAAAACTATTCAGTTGATGAATCTCACTGCCAAGAAAGTACTTCATTACAGGCATAACAACATACTGGTCATTTACTTGTTACCACACAAATACACACAGACAAATCAAACACACACACACACACACACACACACACACACACACTCATATATAAACACAGAGGGCCCATTGTGAATGCTGGCTGTTCTGCCTGAAACTTTGTGGGCACAGGAATGTGTAACAGGGGCCTCGAATGGAACTTTCAGTAACTGTGTGTGTGTGTGTGTGTGTGTGTGACTGCCGAGAAAGTCTGCTCAGTTTCCCCCTGAATTTTGTCTCCTCTGCAAATTCTGAAGTCTCACGAACAAAGGACGCATCCCAAAATGCTTCATTACCTCCTTACACTGTTTCCCTGCTCTCTTGACCAAGCGCCGTCCTGCTCACTCAGTGCACGAATGGCACACGTTTTGTGTGCTATATTTGTGAGCTTGGATCGTGAGCTAACTTGAATGATCGCAAAGCATATTTGTCAGACTACTTAGATAAATATTGATCCATCCAATGTAACTCTGTTGAGCACTTGACAGACTTTGTCAAGGAATGTTACACTTTAACCTCAATAAAATCCACTGTGCGGTTTTACAGTGTGTTCTGACCCTTTATAGGACTGGTGAACATGATATGCAAACAGCACTATTCAGGATTTGAACAAACCTCTAACACTATTTAACTTCAGCATGTAACTCAATGTCCTGCATCTTTTGAGCTTTTAAGAATGAAACTTCAAATCACGTGGCTTGTTGAGTCATAACCCCACAAGATTTGAGGTTTCACGCACATTTTCATTCATTTTCTGCCATACACACCTTCATTCAGCATGACCTAGTTCCTAGATTTGGTCTTTAAAAGAACGTCTCTATTTGTTGCATGTCATCTGAGGTTCAAACCGCACCTGGCTGACTAACTGGCCTCATGTGTGCAACTGCTGATAGTTCAAACCGAGGTCATCTGAAAGAAGAGCTCCTAAGAAACAGCGGGTCAATTTGCCGTAACTTAAAGTGGCACTAAAGTTATTTTATGATTGCACTGTACATTGGTTAATAATTTGCTTTAAACCCAGTTTCCAAAAGTGTCACCAGATCTGGAGCAGCAATCAACAGTGAACGAATGGGGTTGTTTTCCCAGCAGGCATTGCAATTTGAGTGAAACCTGTAATGATGGATTCAGAGTTATAAAAGTGTGTGCGCAATGCATTGTTTGAACAAACCAGCAAAACATATGACAACCTATGGGCCACGCTATCACTAGACCGAGAAGTCTAGACTGTTCAGAAAATATATGTCTGTTATGTAACATTCAATACTTTCTGGGATGCATTACTGCTCTATTGCATAATACATAGTCATATTTTACATAATATAGGCCTACACTACCAGGCAAAAGTCTTTATTATGACTTTTTCCACATTTTAGATTATAGTTTTCAAAATTATGACCAAAAGATGTCAAACAAGTCCAAAAATGTCTTTTATTTTAGCTTCCCGTACATTCTGGACATTAACTGAGCTTTATGAGATAATTCCTGGGATTATTTTTTAACGGTTTGGAATAAGTGCATTCTGAACACTTGTGGTCATACAGAAATTAAACAAAAATATAGCTGCAAACAGCAATTAAGGGGGCAAGAGGCAAATATCAGAGGAACAATTATGAGAAGTAAGTAAGTAAATTATGAGAATCAGACTAATTGCAAAAATGAGCGAAAGGCATTCGAAGAGGATTTTAAGCAAAATGGTTGAAAACCCATAAATACATTTGACTTACAATGTGACATAATTGCTTATCACTTGTGACCAATAAGTGGCACTGACACTGAATTTATTTAGTGCGGTCAGTGTTGGGTGGCAATGGCACTCGCCAAGTTTGGTCTCAATATGCCCAAGCCTTGCAGAGATTGAGACTTGGATGCAAGTAATGCACATGCAATCCATAACTTTTAGTCTGAAGATGATCCGAGAATAGAATTTGCTGAAAAATGTACCAACGGTCTAGGAGATATAGCATCACATTCGCTTTGGTGAGTTTTTCGTAGAATTAATTAGTGAGTTTTCGATAATGGTTTGACTAATCAAATTGAATTCCATGTTTGTTTTGTTGCCTGCATAGACTGAAGATGATTTGATTTTCATTAAAACTGGACAAAAGGTCTAGGTCGAGTTTGAAAGAGAATTTAAAATGTCGGACATTTTTTCAATTGGTGGTGTGGTGAAGAGATGAGTCCCAACTTGTAGCTAACGTGAGCTGTTTTGGCGTTATGTATAGCTTGAATGCTAAATCCCGCTGCTATGTGCAAGATAAGATAAAAGCACTTTGTTGCCATCGAGTAATACATTTATTTGTATAGCACTTTTTATAGTAGGTGCTGCGAAATTTAGTTTTAAAAGTTTTTCAGTTGAGAACTTTAAACATATTAGTTTAAAGACATTAATGACTCGTTATAACGTAGTTCAAACGTCTTCTATAATAAAGTGATTTTTTTTCTGATTTGTAAAAGCGAATACCCATGAAACTACCCAGCAAACACAGAACGTTCCCAAATGGTCCCATGAGGTTATTTTTTTGGGAACCAAACAAGAACGTTATAGGAACGTTCCATGAAGGTTATTTTTAGGTTCCATTTTTATAACATTAACATAAAATTCCCTTAGGAACGTTCTGGGAACCAAAAACTAACGTTCCCAGAACCTAAATTTATTTGCTGGGTATAGCTATGAAACAATTGGATTGCTTAGGTCCTAAGCTGGGACCCATCTCTTCAGTGGGACTCATCTGTTCACCACAGTGGCTTGGGATTGAGTTAGAGACTCCAACATTGCTGTGGTTAATGTTCAGACTGTCCTCTATCTGTGTGCAAATTCAATCAATTGTCTCCAATCTTTTTATATTGACTAAAAGTCATATTTTTGCATTCCCTGCATGTTTTGTTGTTGTGAACTTTACAAATAAACACTGAAAATTTAGGGCTTTTAAATATTAACCTTTTTTAGAGAGAATTGTTTCCTGGTCCACGTTCGTAAGGGAAACAATGCTGCATAGACTTTGTACAGCGAGACTGGGGGATTACCGTACAGACTGTGTACATTGGACTTACACAAACTTATGAGGCATTACAAAACAAACACACTCACTTTAACATCATCAGAGGAGTAAATGCCTTGACAACCAAAGTCTCATTCTCACACACACACCCTCTGACTTTTCATATTCACACCAAACTGTCACTCTGTAAAAAAAGATGTGTCAAATTCCAAAAAAGCACATATTCGCACTCACACGTACACTCACAAACAGTTACAGACAACTGCAAAAATCAAACACCACACCAGAGCAGAGCAGAGCAGACTCAACCCAAGAGATAGAACTGTATTCTAGGTGATCGGCTACTGTCAATTTGTCAAGCCACCAATATGTTGAGCTTAAACCAGCCTTGTGCCGCAAACATCACACATATAGGCTTACATTGACACACACACACTGATTAGTGCACTGCTGAATTTACAGTGCCATTTCAAAAGAGATAATAACCCACCAAATCACAAAATATTGATAAAACACATCTTTCTACGAAGTTGTATTCGCAGGTCTTGTAGCTCAACGCCTCAGTTCTCATTCTATCTTCTAGCTTGTTTCTGCCTCAGAATACACAACTAAAAAGGTAATTATAACTTTTTTCTCACAATTGCGAGTTTCTTTCTTGCTAGCAGGATTTTATAACTCACAATTGTGACTGTTTTCACAGAATTGCATGTGTATATGGTCAGGTGTTTAAAGTAACTCAGAATTGTGACAAATAAAGTCATATTTGTGAGATATAAACTTTTTTTCTGTAGCAGAAATAAACCTCCATAATCTTCCCTAAGATTGGAAAATATTCAGCATCACTGGTCCAATTCAAGATTCACTGTTCTTTTTGTTTATCCCAAAAAATGGGGGAAGATACACTCTCAGAAGAAAGGTACAAAAGCTATCACTGGGACAGGTACCATTTAGTTGCATAAATGGTACACTAATATACACTTTTGGTACCAATATGTACCTTTACTGGTTCTTTGTGGTGAACCACAAATGACTCTTTTAATGAATCATTTAATAAAAGGTGTGTTCGACTTGAAGCAGACCGATCAGTGTATGAACTCAAAGTATGGCGAGAGCAAAAGAAACACTGCATGTTTTCGAAACACTCCCACGATGCTTTGACGTCATACACTCATCGGTCTGCGTCTGCACAGTGCCGCATCAAGTTGAACACACCTAAAGACTCACCGATTTGACGAATCCTTCACTGACAGATTACTGAAAACGAGCTGCATATTATCATTATTTCTCGTTAATATGTGACGAGGAGATTTTCATCTTTTTTTGTCTATGCCCTTTTTATCTATGAACACAAATTCAAACATTTAAAAGAACTGTTAGTCGAATAGGCAATTCGGATCATTGAGAATCAATTTAAGATATAATAATAGTATCATGCGGAATTTAGCACACATTTTCTTCAGACACACTGATTTCATCTTCAGCCGAGTCAAGAAAATGTATTTAAATGACAAAAGAAATCAGGTGTGCTTGACTTTTACGCAAATATGAAAAGGTAGACTTAATTTGTTCAGCCACTTAAAACAGCTCTCTCTGGAAAAACAGGTGAGGCACTTTGCATAATACAATCATTAACCATGTTATATAAAATGCTAAATATGCTGTTAGTAACAACAGCCTACCTCATGCCTAGGACTGAATGAGAGAACCAGTAAATGGAGATCTGCACACCACAGACATTTTCTGGAGACTAAAAATGTAATATCTAACAATGTTTTGCTGAATTGCATTATGTGTCAACATCGAGAGAAAAAGAAATGCTAACAGATAGCTTTCTCCAATGGTCTCTTGGACTTTGACACAGACCTTATTCAGAGCAGCGCCATAAAAGTAAGGCTATTAGAGATAGACTTACCGTGTTTTCAATGGCATCCACTGTAAAAAGCTGTATACAGCTCTAAGATCACTTATAATTTTGTTAAAATAAGTTGTTGTTTTTTTTGTCGACTGAAATTTCTTGGACAGATATTTTGTCCAACGATTCAGAAATAAATGATCCCTTAAAGAGGCAAGAGTGGAAAATGCTAAGCAAAAAATAATTAAATTTTTTATATAATCTAGACTTAAATAAAACCAAAAGTATATTTGTATTAAATTTGATATATGTTGGATTTTATGAGTTGTGTCTCCTGAGATACGTTGCATGATTAGGGTATAAAAAAGGACAATGTTGTCATTAACTGTTACTGCCATTGTATGTTTAAAACAATTAAATCCCATTCTTCACTTGATCTAATGTTGACAAATTATAAATCATTCGAAAGCTTATACGAACTCAAGATTCAGCCTGTGAAACCATAGAAACGGTACTCTAAATTCTTTTAATGGGCTCCTCCCCTTTTTTGGGCATCGTCAAGTTTCATAGTTTATGACCAAAACCTTTTCTAATCTTGACAAAACACATTGTCAGAAAGGTCTCATATTTTGCGACAGAAGTGATTTTTGGACAGAGGTTTATTAATTTGTTAAGGCAGAATGCATAGAAATAGTCACCCAGTGGCTATTTTTGGAATTACGCCTAAACAAAATCTCATGGGAACTCCAATTTTTGTGATATCAACTTCAAATTTGGAACACAACTTGGTTAGATATATGGCTTTGATTCTATAGTGGTTTTATAGTAAAAAATATTTTGTAAAATACAAATTTTATAAAAAAAAAAGAATAAATATTAACTACAGTATATTTGATTTAATGTAAGTTTTAAACTTCCTTAACTTTTTCATATTTTAATTTCCGGTCTAAATTAGGTCTATATTCTAAAGCATTCTTGAATTACAATCAATAAAGTTTGAATAGTGCATTTTAAATAGAGCTAGTTTAATCCCTTTTTCATACCCTAAACACAATGTTAGCAGATTAATGTTAGCACAATTCACAATTAATGTGCAGTATTCTTTTTTTTTTTTTCAGAAGAAAAGTAAATGTGATATATATTTGCTTATCTAAATATCTGAATGTTCTGCACCACTGGCAGCCATGTTGGATTTAGGTCAGGCTGACTAATTGATCACAAAAAAATTGAAGCAAATCATGTGACCAGCATACTCAAGACAGACCAGGCTGTCATAAAAGATCTGATCTTTCTTATTCCCCCCAAAAATACAATAAAAACTATGTAACATGAGACATGTTGCCTGTTTTAGGGTTAAATTACAGTACAATCCACTGAAAATATGGGATATGTATATCCCTCTTCATTCCTGTTAAAAATCAAAGATGGCGCTGCTGTGAATAAGGTCTATTGACGTGGAGGTGCCATTACATTAAATCAAAGGTCTTCGGTTGTTGCAATACCTAATGCACATTTGTCAACCAAAAGCGACTGATAATAAGATGGCTACTGAGATAAAGTGAACTTTCATGTGATCTCAATATAGCTGCCCGCACCATAAAGTGGGATAGTCCCAACAACTGCTTTTTATGCCACTGATCTCAGCATGACAGTACTCTATCCAAAAGACTTGGCCAAAACTACAATTTATTTCACTTTTGTGTATAGACAAGGCACGAGCCATTTGAGTCATAGAGAATATGTCTGATTCATTATGAGGTGTGCTGATGAAAGTGATTTCAGTTTCATTGTTGATGGGTTTTTACGTCCGACTGTCATGACAATAATAGAGCAGATCATCTTTCAACATCAGAGCTACATCTTCAATCCTGAAATCTACAAAGCTCAAACTCAACAACAGAGTCGCAATCAAGGAAATCACAATGTGATTGTCATTTAAATTTTACAGAATGGTTAATTTGGTCTCAGTAATGCATAAATATGCTCATAAAAACATGTAATTCTCAGAACAATTAAACACAGTGAACAATTAAACCTGTTTCTCGAGTTTCGACTGCTTTGTAATTTACCTCAGGGCAAAATCATGTGCTTTCAGTCTCTCTCTCTCAGAAAATCTCTAGGATTAGTCCTGGTGTGTAAGCCATTAAAATACACTAAATGTTTTTTGGGATCTTACTAGGACTATAGGATTTATTTGACAGTCAAATCTACTGCTGTCACTCACTATTATCATCAAAACGATAAGAATCTATCTGTCAAACTTATCATGTATGTGCCTCTTAAAGCAGGGTTTTAGTGTTGTTACTATTGTAAAACCGCTCTTAAGATTTCATTTGAGATTTTATCTTCACTCTTAAACATAAAGGTCCCAGCAATGAAGACAATAGGTTGGTGGTTCCCCAAAGAACCTTTCATTAAACAGTTAAATGACTTTTTTTTTTTTACCTTTTTCGATTTTAAAGAAACTTTTGCGTAATGTAAGGATTACATCACTTTTTAAGACTCACTGACGTAAGATGTAAAGGGTTAATTCAGACTTCAACTTTAGCAAACTGTTTAACACCATTCAGGGAACGATTAGGCTACTCTCTATTTAGACTCATTTGCTTGGTAATGATACAGCAAACATATCAGTTTCAGCATACACTGTGCTCCAAAACCAGTATTCAAACAATGTGCACTGTTAATGATGTTGAAATGAGAGATGTCACTCCTTCAAAACAAACTGGACACTTTTGTTATCATGATATCACTGTCAAAAAGTAGACCAATTCACATACTGAATACAATCCACACACACAAAGAGTTCATGAAAGGTTTTCTAGTCAGAAATGTACAGTAAATGATTCTCACTTTCTTGTTGTTCTGAAGAAGAAGACAGCTTTTTCTTTCTCATTGAGCGGTAAAAGCGGGAATTCCTGCGAATCGGAGCTCTTGTCAACGTCTCGTCATCTTCGTCGTCATCCTCCTCGCTGGGCAGACGGGCCACTGGCGTCTGACTTTTGGTCTGGACCACTTGAGGTTTATGTCCCCATCTCATGCGGAACAGGGCTGTCATCGCCATCCGCTATCTGTAACAAGATCCAGCCGTAATCCCCATTGAACTTGCTCCGGAGGAATTCCAATCCAGGCTGGATCCAAACGGTCAGGCTCCCAAAGACACAGTCCCACAGTCACAGAGCTATGCACCCTTTCTAGATAATCAGCTCTCTCATTCCTCTTCTTTCGCCTCTGTGTTTTCTCCCTCTGCCTGAGGGGTTGGCCTGTTGTTGGAAACTCCAGAAGTTTAAAGTCTGTGTTTCTCTCTCTCGCTCTCTGAATGCTGTCCTGTCCCTCCAACCTGTCCTCTGGGCCTCTGTGTCAAAGTTCTCACCCCCTCCCTCTCATTCATTCTCGCCGGTCCAGCCTCCCCGTCTCTCTCTCCCGCCCTCTTTCCCTTCCCTATCTCACTTGCATTGCCCTGTCCTCCCCTGGGCGCATACCTTCTTGTCCTATGATGCACATGCGTATATAAAACAGGTAAAGTCACTCATGTCAAACAACAGCAGATCTTGTATTTTGAGTTGGCGTCTCATATGAACACCTCAGCCGTGATGTCTCATTAATGACACTTCAAACAACATGACTGTGACTTCAGTCACACTTGGAAAGCATGTCTTTCCATCAGTCTTGATTTGTGATTTGTGTTTACATAATATATGTGGGTGCACTCTGTATAGGCTAATTATATATATATAAATACACACACATGCTTGTATGTATTTAATAAATATTTTTATGTATATACTGTATATAGATTTATATATAATTTACATTATATAAATATAAACATTTTATATAAAAATAATATTTTTTTCTTGAATATACATGTTTGTGTATTTATTTATATATATATATATATATACATATATATACATATATATACAAAATAATTATACACAGTGCACCCAAATATATTATGTAAACACAAACTTTTATATTGGATGCAATTAATCGCAATTAATCGTTTGACAGCCCTAAATATATATATATATATATATATATATATATATATATATATATATATATATATATATATATATATAGACATGACATGACATGTGGAAAAAATAAAAAGTATAGCTTATAGGCTATGTATGGCTACAAATTAACAATTTGTTCACATGACTTACTTATATGTCAGCATGTTTTACTGATCATTAGTTTTAAGTAAAATCTGCACATATAATAATTTGTTCCCATATTTTACAAAATCGTGGCGCTGTTCTAACAATTTGTTCCCTTGTTGAAGTTAAATAAAAAATTCCTAAAACGAGGGATTGATTTATTTAACTGCATATTTATTTTTGTTCACGTCATTTTGTAGGATTGGATTTGTTTTTAAGATCTTGATTTATTTGAATATATTTTGATGTTTATTTTCCTTTGGCAAATATGTTTTATTATTATGCATAAATCTAATAAAAAACTTTATCAACTAAATTAAGCCTATGTGTTTTTCCTAAAAATGCTGATTAAAAATTACATTTTCGTGAATACAAAATCTACACACACAAAAAAAACTATCATATTTGCCAAAAAAAAAATAGTTAATCAGTATTGTTTTAGTAATATTTACTGATATTTTGAAAAAAAAATTTGATATTTTGAGTTTTTAGTTTTAATTTCAATTAATTGTCAGTTTTATTAGTTATTATTAAATATCTCTTATCTATTTAATTTATTTTTTATTTCAGTTTTAAGTTTGCCAGAGCAACATTTCAAATTTTTGTTCAAGTTTTCCATCTAATAATTATATTTGATTTTATTCCAGCTTTATTAGAAAAAATGAAAATGGTTTTAATAGTTTTAGTCGTTAACAATAACAATGCATACTCACCGCTGTAGTCATCATTCTTTGTAACACCCTGTTCTCTACAGTCAGCTGACTACTCAGGGTTAAAAACTTCTCTCTCTCCTGCTAGGCCAAAAACTCTCTAATCCCATTGTGCTCCTGCTGATTAACACACATTGACACGTATACAAAACACACACAGAGAGGAAATAGGTAGGCTCCAAGGTACAAGTTTTGAACAATTTATAAAACAGATTTTGGTAACACTTTCCAATAAGGTTCATTAGTTAACCTTAGTAAATGCATTAACTAACGTGAACTAACGATGCATTAGTTACAGTGTTTATTAATCTTTGTTAATGTTAGTTAATACAAATACAGCTGTTCATTGTGCGTTCATGTTAGTTCACAGTCCATTAACTAATGTTAACTAAAACAACCTTTGATTTTAATAACGTATTAGTAAATGTTGGAATTAATATTAACTAAGATTAATAAATGCTGAACAAGTATTGTTCACATATTGTACATGTTAACTGATGTTAACTAATGAACCTTATTGTAAAGTGTTACCCAGATTTTTGTATCACTTCAACGTAGCCAAGCGAACCAGAATTATCAATAATGAAAAACACTGACAGAAATGCAATCCTAAAATATCAATTAAAGCACAAAATAGACACACACACACGTGAAGTAACATGCAGCAAGCACAGACATCAATTAGGCAGGCCTGTCATACAAGCTTTAACAAAGACCAAAGAAACGCCTCCTGCTATTAACTTCTCAAGTCAAACTTCAGTATTACAGCAGGAGAAAGAGAGAGCATACCTGAGAGAGAAATAAGGATTATGGGACTTGGGTGTTTTTCTAATCTAACCGTATACCATGGGGCCGAAATTGCTGAAACATGTAAGTTAAGTAAATCTGTCAAAACCCAATTTGGAAAAAGTTCAAAAGTTATCAAAAATGTAAAAAAAAAAAATGTTTCTTTTTAGCAGTAAGATTTGGGTTATCCATATTTTAGATCTGTTTTAGTTGTTTTGTCCTCGTGTAGAGCTAGTTGAATGTGTGTGTGTGTGTGTGTTGGAGTATTCAGGGCTAGGGGGTGTATAAACAAAGCCTTCTGTTGGTATTGAGTTTTTGGGATGGAATGTGGATTCATTCGCTGAATCCTGTGATTGCATAACGCCAGTGGAAAGAGCGCAGAGTCAATGTGACAGGCGCTCCTCTTTCTTCTAAACTTCACCTGTGAAGAACAGGTGTGCCGCTAGATGAAACACCGCCCAGCCTCGTCTAAAGGATCATCAGCAGTGCGATCGAAGTCTGTGTGGCCTGTCGATAACAGTTTTATCTTTAGAATGCTTATTCATTAACTGTGTGTGAACAAATATTGTTTGTGCTGTTGCTCTGGTCTTTCCAGTTGCTTACATAATTATTTCATAAAGGCCTAATTTTAAATATTTAAGGATGGCTGGTAAACAAGCTGAAGATCAGCTTAGCAAGGTTGGGAGAACAGCTAAAAGTAACGTGGGTTGTTTTTATAAGCAGGTTCATGTCCCAATTCACCATCCTAAATAGTTTTCGAAATTAGAATTCGTGGGTCCCAAATCATAGTATGTTGAAATCGGTATTCGAAAGAGACGCGGTTAGATCGCGGTTATAGTGCGGATCAATGCACACTCTGACGCGGATCAATGCCCACAAGCTATTGCGTTAAATGAGGATTCGATTAGAACAACTTGAGAGAATCGAACCATTAAAGTCCCTCTGTGTTAAAAATTAAGCTTTTAAAATTATTTATGTCTATGTGGTGTTTTTATTACGCTTTAATACAAATCATGTGTAAATTCATAAGTCGACAGCATTGCTGAGTATTTTCTCCTTAAAACTGCAGTGAACCAAAGACAGTTTGAAATCGCTGGTGTTTCTGATGTCACAAACTACCTTGTAACCAATCAGGTCACAGTGTGATCATCAAAGAGTGGATCTCCGAGCTGGAGTGAGAGAGTGGAGGCGGGGCTCATTTGCATATTCATAGAACCGCGTATACTAAATGAGGCAAGGGTGTAGACTTACATTCAAGCTATTTCAATTCAAAAAGAAAAAATGTTCAAGGAAAAACAGTTAAATATGTCATTTTAATGGTCAAAGATGAGTTTTAAGGGATACAAGTACTGACTACAGAGGGACTTTAAAACATGAAAAAAATCCCAGAAGAAATCACAGGCGGGCAACTTATGAAACCCTGTAAGTATGTTCTAAAATAAGAAAAAGCCATAGACATCTATGAATTAAAAATACAAACACGAAACATAGTGTTAAAAACTACAAATATGGCGGATGTGTGATACCAACGGTTAAAGGTGCATTGCGCAAGTCTTTTTGCAGAACTATGCCCCCTCTGGCGACAAGCGAAACTGCAACCAGAGGTGTGCGTGCTCATGGATCACACACACACACGTTTGCACGAGCTGTTCATAACCAAAGGAGCATCAGCCGCACAAATCTTTTGTTACAGTCATAATGTATTCAGAGGTAATAAAGTTATAAATCTGCAAGTCATTTTAAATATATGAAAGGAAAGGCATTTGAGTAAATCACACTCTTATAGAAAACTTCGTTTTTTGTTTACATCTGTCTCCATGTTGAATTGTCCTATGTGCTTACTTTCTTCACAAAAAGAGTACATACTTTTAGACCGTAGTATACAGTAAGTATAGGCGAATTGAGACACGCACCACCGTTTCCGTTTAAAAAACTTTTTGCAGCTTTTTGTCGGAGCTGAACGTGCGGTTTGTGTCATCAAAATCATTCATCCATATTGGTGGAAGTGAGAGACAGTGAGTTCTGATTGATTATATATTCTAAATGCAAATTGTGTCATTGTTTTGGAGCACACATAGCTTATAGAAAACCTTCAGGTTAACATTTACTAAAAGCCCAAAACTTTTCGATTTCATGGGGACTTTAAACGGTATAGCCTACAGGATGCAAGTACTGAGAGACAAAGCAGTCCGTTAGCCTATAACAAGTAGGCTATGTCCCAAATCTTGTCTACTATTCTGTTACACACTCAAAAAGTTTCTTCACAAAAACAGTAGCCTACATAGGCCTACTTAACTTGAAGGGCATGGTATGCGTGCACAGCAATTGCAAGTCATTAAGCGGAACTTGAGATATGTCGTCATCTGGTGTTGAGGTTTGGTACTTTGTCACACATGCTGGTCTACTTGGTTGCAGCCGTGAGAAAAAGCTGAATGTTGCCAATTAGAATGAAGTCAAAATGGTTATTCAATCTTTTTTATGTAAGGGATAATCCACGGCTAACCATGCATTAAAGAATTTGAATACACGACGTAAAGGCGAAGTGTACCCGACACGTGAGATAGGGTAGATTATCCCGCTTATACCTTGGCTATTTGCCTATAAAGCAAGTTTTATAAAATTAAACTTTATAATAATTCATAAACTTTATAACTCCATATAATTAAACTTTAACTAGCTAGAAATTTATTAGATCGTCC